CTTGAATTTTTTTAACTACAGCTATGTTCTTTATCTTTTAAAAGTAAAATCAAATTATTTTTGAGAATCCCAGTCCTTTTTTCATTTTATTATCTTCACATTTGATACAATTTAATGCTAATGGGACATCTTTCAGTTTGATCACAACTTCATGAAGAAGATCCCCAGTGGAGCAGAAGCGTCCAATGCACTTGTAGGAGAAGTAGACTTTCTCAAAAAGCCTCTGATTGCATTCGTTCGTCTTGAAAACAGTCTTGTTCTTGGAGACTTGACTGAAGTTCCTCTCCCAACAAGGTTCATGTTTATTATGCTTGGTCCACCAAGTACTCCAGGAAGATATCATGAGGTTGGCAGAGCAATAGCAACATTAATGTCAGATGAAGTAAGTATGCTTTATGTAATATTTATAATATGAGTGGGAGACCTTTATGTAATATTTATAAAATTTTTGATATATAACGCACGCTCTGATTGGCTGACGACCGTGTTTATATCAGAGGACAGAGACACGGCTTACTGGCAAAATTTTCTTTTCGCTCGAAAAATTTTATAAAAGAAATATAAAACAGACGCTTGTGTCTCTGTCCTCTCATATAAACACGGTGGGAGTTGAAAAACACTCGAGAAGCAAGAGAAACACTCATAAATTGACTGATTCCATAAGTCGTAGTTTCTGCTTCTCGATTTTTTAGCTGTATGGAAGTGAAAATTTCGAGTAGCTGTTGGAATTGTGGTAATATAATTTCATACAGTTTCATGTACATGTAGATTTTCACAAAGTAGTAAAAACCTATGCACAAAGATTCAGTGGAGTGGATAATAAGCTTTCTGTAATTCCAATTTCTACTTACTAAACAGTCAGCTTGGAAATTCCAGTCAGTGTTTCAGCCGTTACGGATAACACGTAGGGAGTCAAACGAAAAATCCTACTGGATTCATGCATTTTATATATGTCAATCATAGACATTTCCATGACTACAATTGGATAGCTCCTCCCCCAACATGAACTGGTTTCCTTGAATATTGACAAAACTAGCCAAGAATGGTCAACATGGTCAAAGCGTTTTMAAATTCTAGTACTTTGTGTGTTAGTGAAGCATTCATTTCAAAAATACATCGACTTCACACAAATACACTTGATGTCAGAGAACAGCTCGGGAAATTGCACTATTTACGTCTAATAATCAGGATATCTGCGGCTATATGCAAGAAATACCAACATGAATTGATTTAGAGCATTCAATTACTGCCCGAAAGGATATAAAATGATGAAATACGAATAATATTACCTGTCAAAGACCGATGTTTTGACTTTCTTCTAGGTGGATAACTGACATCAAGCGTGTATTTTTGTGTAAAGTCTCTGTATTTTCGAAACAAATGCTTCACTAACACACAAAGTACTACACAATTTCTGAAATATACTTAGCCCTCTTTGTTTGAAGAATTGTCACTCTTCAACGCAAAGAATTTGAAAACGCTTTGACCATTCTTGGCTAGTTTTGTCGATATTCGAGGAAACTAATTCATGTTGGGGGAAGAGCTATCCAATGGTAGTCAAGGAAATGTCTATGATTGACGTCGGTAAAATGCATGAATCCAGTAGGATTTTTCGTTCGACTCCCTACGTGTTATCCGTAACGGCTGTAAATAAAAACTCTTGAAAGTCACACAACTCAGTACAGCAAACAACACATTGTATGTCATCTCATTTTTGAATATTGTTTATTATGTAGATTTTCCATGAAGTGGCTTACAGAGCTAATTGTCGTGAAGATCTCTTGTCTGGTATTGACGAGTTTCTTATGCAGGTAGGTCAATAA